ATGCCAACACCCATTGATGATTATGAACAAAATTACTGACATTTTTAGCCTTTATCAATGCATGTTTGTGTTGTGGAAACTCTCCAAGTTTTTCAAGCTTTAAGTCAATGGAATGTGCAGCACAAGGAGTCCAATATAAATGCTTATGTCTTTCCATCAACTTCCTCTCAGCAGCTTTGTATGCTCTTGCATTATCGGTCACAACTTGTACAACATTTTCTTCATCAATTTCTTGAACAACCCCGTCTAATAATTTGAACATGAGATCCGCATCTTTAATTGCATTAGAAGCATCAATAGATTTCAGAAACACCGTTCCATATGTATTATTCACAAAAAAATTGATCAAACGTATATTTCTCATGTCAGACCACCCGTCAGATAATATAGAAACACCAATTGTAATCAATGTCGCCTTTACATCATCAACTGTTTTCCACGTCGATTCCTCTTCCTCTTTAAGCATTCATGTCCGGAGTTCGTACATTGTAGGGAGTTGAAAACCTCTACCATATGAACGAAGAACCCGACACGTACTGATAAACGAATGAGATTCAACTGCATTGAAAGGTATTGCATTTTCAAAGAAGAATCTGTCGACATCTAAACAAACTTTTTTCGCATCTCTTTCATCTTAGCTGCACTCATCTTTGGATGTGTCTNGATTCAACGGCATTGAAAGGTATTGCATTTTCAAAGAAGAATCTGCCAACATCTAAACAGACGCTAGTTCGCATCTATTTCATCTTCGCTGCATTCATCTTTGGATGTGTCTGATCATCACCACCAATGTTTGACACAAACCTATCCATTGGTCCTTTAATGCCTCTCATAGAATCTTTTTCTTTATCATTCTTCTCATAATAAGAACCAAGCTCGACCATATCTTCAAACTGTTGTTGTGATATGTGTCTTTTCATGTTTCCAACATTCATATACTCCGTAATCTCTTGTTTAACGTCCACTAGAACTCCAGGGCATGGGGCTACACTCTTGTGAGTACATGCTAAGTGTTCCTTCA